TTTTTCTCTTAATGTAAAATGTATATACAATGATAGCTCAGTTGGTAAAGAATCTGCCTGCAATGCAGGAGACCCTGGTTCAATTCCTGGTCGGGAAGATCCACTGGAAAAGAATAGGCTACCCACTCCAGTATTCTTGGGCTTCCCCTATGGCTTAGCTGGTAAAGAATCCGCCTGAAATGCAGGATACCTGGGTTCAAGTCTGTTTCATTAAGCTCCTTCAGTCACTTACAAAAGTTCATCTTTATATGGCATTCCCTGATGTCTCAGAGGGTAAAGAGTCTGCCTGCAATGTGGGAGACCTGAGTTTGATCCCTAGGTCGGGAAGATCCCCTGGAGAAGAAAATGGCAACCCAATCCAGTATTCTTGCCTGGAAAATCCCATGGACAGAGAAGGAGCCTGGCGGGCTACAGCCCATAGGGTTGCAAAGAGTCAGACACAACTGAGAGACTTCACTTTCACTTTTTTGAATTAATGTTGACAAATACATGTACCCGTGTAACCGAAACTCCTATCAAGATATAGAACATTACTGTCACCCTAGAAAATTCCCTCATGCCTCTTCTCAGCTGGTTCTTTCTCCTCATCACACAAAGGTAATCACTATTTTCTAATTCTTCTACCATACGTTGGTTTTGCCTATTCTAGAACTTTATAGATGAAATAATAAAATGTACTTTTTTGTGTGTGTAAGGCTTCTTTCATTTAACATAATATTTTTGGGTCATTGATATTGTTGTATAGATCAGTATTTCCCTTCGTTTTTATTGCTGAGTAATATTCCATCATATGACCATGAGTATATTGTATATTTATCCATTGTCTTATGAAGGCACCTGGCTACCTTATAATGATCACTGGATTACTTATTACTTTATACAGGATAAAGTAATATCTCCATTGCTTACTCCTTGACCCTTTAGTTACTAACATTATGGCTTAGTAAATGCTTATAAAGGGATCTTTTAAAGTAGTGTATTTCAAGTCCTTCTGAATTCCCTGATAGCTCAGCAACACCATTTCTTTTTACCTTAGATCCTAGCCAGTGAACAAAATAAAGTATTCACTTACTTTAAATGTGTATTAGCGTCCATGCTAGTCACATCTTGAGACTGTAAACTGCCTCCCAGTACTACTGCTGTCTGAGTTTTTGAAAGAACACTGTTGGTTTACTCTTGAGAGGCAGGTGGCAGGCAGTAGGAGGCTTTGTGTAGTTTCTGGTGGGGGAGTTGTCACTGTAGCCAGATACTTTACCAGCAGCAGCAAAGGGTAGACGATAAGGATAGGAGAGAGGAGACAGACATTACAGGTTATTGGTAGCTGAAGTCAATCAATTGTAAATTGAAACCCAGTTTTTTGGGAGAGAGAAATTCAAGTTGACCTGTTTACAGTATTTCACTGAGTAATTAGACTGTATTACCCTATACAATGGCTTCCCTCGGAGCTCAGTCAGTAAAGAATCTGCCTGCAATGCAGGAGACCCAGGTTCAATTCCTGGGTCGGGATGTTCCCCTGGAGAAGCAAATGGCAACCCAATCCAGTATTCTTGCCTGGAGAATCCCATGGAGAGGGGAGCCTGGCAAGCTACAGGCCATGGGGTTGCAGGAGCCAGACTTGACTTAGTGACTAAACCACCACCGCCATCCTATACAATCTTTGATAGAATGGCAACTCTTACAAATTTAAACATGCCACCTTTGCCATGTTTTCATCTACTGTATATATGGTGTACATGCTTTGTATCTATTCTCAAAATACCAGAAGAACATCAAGATTCACTTTATAATACTATCTCTCTTCATTTAATTTGTGATATCCAGGAGAAAATGTAATTTTAAAAATTCTTCATGGTTTAAGGACAAGTAACCAAGGATATCAAAGGAGCATTTAAAATATTAAGACCCACTCTGTATTTTCCAGAAGGTATGAAAGTAATACTACTTAATAGGTTAGCTGCCACCCTGCACTTTCAAAGCACTTTAGTCATTCATCTGTCTGAGGTAAGACGGTATTTGCACCCTTGGTTAATAGATGGGAACTCTCTCCCCCCGACCCCATGTTTTACTGTATTTGAATTCCAGAATATATCCAGAGCTTTCCAAACAGTGCTTATTGTCTTCTGGTGGCCTAACAAAGATTCCTTTTAATAATGGCTTTCCCCACTTATATCCTAAATACTTCTGGGATATTTTTTCAGAAGTTATTAAAACCCAAAGCAAAGAAACAGTTGTCAGTTTTTGTGGTAACAGTAAAAATAAATTTTAACTGGAAAATTTGTAAGACATTATATCATTCATAGATGATAAAACAATTACACAAAAAAATAGGTAAACTATCTCATAAGTTTGTATAAAATCTTTAAACAAATATGATGTGTACCTAGTTGATGGTTTTCCTTCTGGAAGAGAAATTATGGAATCCAGTACCTCAATTTAATAAATTTAAAAACTGTATATATTGGTCCATGTATATTTGTGGTTAACAAAGAGAAAGGACAGAACCACAGGTATTTATTTACTGATTTCTGCAGTAGGGGTTATGAGGATAGCATCTCTGCAAATTCCTGCTTATGTATTACTTGAGCCAATAATCTTAAAGTAGAGTATGTTTACAGGAACTCTGTGATGTGAAGAAGTAAAGAGTTATCACATCCAGATACCTGGTTATGCTGGTCTTTTTAAGTGCAGGAACTTTTGAAGGCAAAAATTCCAAAGCCTAATTTATTTTATTTATGCTTATTTACAAGTATGTTTAATCCTGCTCTTGTTTCTGAGCTTAATACCGCATAAAAATATTAATCATTAGGTGGTCTTAATGTAGCTCTCTTCAGCACTTCTGTAGAAAGTCATTGTCAGAGAATTCATTCTAATTCAAGGTTAATTAGTGTACCATTAAAATAATGCGTTACAAAAATTAATTACATCGCAGGTCAAAAAACCTGTTAAAAAGCAGAGTGTAAATGTCTGAGAGCACATCGTCCTTCTTAAAACATTGCTATACGAGTGCCACCCTTCTGGAAAATATCTCCAATGTGAAAATCACTACTGAGGTCCAGTCATAGGTGTTTCCCTAAAGTAAATTTTTGGCACCACACATGGAAAATTTAAAATATAACTCCCCATTAACAGTAAAATGTGTTGCTTGTCTGCTTCCACACCGAAACAGCTAAGGATTTATATTTTAGCATTAATCAATGGAACCCTATTGGGTTAAACCTAAGAGAAGTCAGGAATCTTGTTGAGGAATAGAAATTATCTACATCTTACAGTAAAAATACTAGATATATTATGTTTTCTTAACTGTTAGGTAGTTCTGGTAGGTGCCCTGTGTAAGTCTGTCACACATCATTTTAACTATATGGTGATTCTTGTTAATAATTTGATAGCCATAAAATGTACCCTTAAAATTAGAACTAAAAATAATACAGACTTTGACATTTTACCTGATTATTTTAATGTAAAAGCTGTGAAACAGTTACATTGAATTATAAAATACTTTACACATTGGTATTTGTCTGAGAATCAAATTAGAATATCTAATTATTCATAGGGAGGGTTTTAAAATGAGTGCCCCAGTCACAGTAAATCAGTACACATTAGAGCTGGGGAACATTTAACACAGGCAACGCTGTTCTCTATCAACAATACATTTTTTATTTGGCTTTTAGAATTGTCTCCATTTTAAAAAATTATTATTGGGCTCTGAACTAATAATTAACTAAGTGGTTTTGCTGTTACAATAAAGTGTGACTGATTTGCCCACTTTTAAAAATTTTCTGCTTTCCTTCTCCTTTGTATTTGCATACAAAACAGATATTCACAGATATGTAAAAATAAATTGATCAAATGAAAGAAAAAGGAAAGGACAATTTTTAAGGAAGAAGTTGTCTCACTTCGGGTTTTTGTTGTTGTTTGTTTTTTTCAAGAATAGCTCCTGGTTAATTAGTTGAACGAAAAGGTATGTGAAGAGAGTCTGAAAGATGAAGAATGTAAGTGGGTTAAGAAAAGCTTTCCTCAAAGGTGCTTTTTACTTTTAAGTCCTCTTTGTCCTAGCTTATATTTGTTTAAATCTTTTCTAAAATGACATAAAGCAGGGATTTCGACTTAATGTGAAAAAACATTCCATTCTTTTAAAAATGACAACATCGCTGCCACCCTCAAAAAGTAGTGTTAAGCCATAATCACTCATTTCTTCAGAAAAGCCCTTAGCTTTGGGGGTTTTGTTAATTCTTTGGACCAATTAGGCTCCTTTTGTTAACTAAGCCAAGATTTTCTGACAGTAGAGAAAAGAATTAACACATCGATAGTAACCGTTTGTCTTTGGTAGACAATAGTTAAAATTGCTTAATATTTAGTATGCTGTCTCCTAACAGTTAATTGTCTATTCTGTTTTACAAGTGGCTTTCATAGTCAACATTTGAAGTTAAATACTAACGTTTGGGGGATGTTTCAGGGTGTAAATTTGGGCTATGAAGGGGAACTGCTTGCGATTACATTTTCTTACATTTTATGGAATAAACTTGAGTAAATTTAGATATGTTACATTTAGATTATGATCTCTACCTTGGTTTAAGTACCATTTTTTTTTTAATTCATAAGAGTTGTTTCACCAAAAGTGAACATAATAATTTAAAACTAATTTCTTTCATTTCATCAAACTACTTTAAAATTTACAAAGTGTTATCGTGTAGTTCATACATCCAATAAATATTACTGGTATTATTGTTGTTAGTATTATCCTTATCCCCACTCTGTGGCTAAAGAAACTGATCAGGCTGAAGAAAGTCACTGGGCTAGTATCTAACAGATCCCCAAAGTAGAACTCAGGAATTCCTGTTGTTTTCATTTACTGTTTTTCCTATAGAACATTTTATATTAATCATTCTTAGAATAGTTAACCTATATTTTTACTTATTTTTGTATCTTTCTTAAGACCTTATGTCTTTTATATGGCCCACAGATGGATTAACAACTTCATTTGTCTTTTTCTGTGTTTTTAGGGCAGAACTCTACTCCATTGGGCTTGTGATCGAGGACATAAGGAACTAGTCACAGTCTTGCTACAATATAGAGCTGATATTAACTGTCAGGTAAGAGTGATGAAAAGGGAACATTTTTTTAAAATGAGGTAAAATCTATATAAAGTAAAATTCACCATATTAACAGTTTTAAAGTGTACAATCGAGTGGCATTAATATATTTAACAATGTGCAGCCATCGCTACTATCTTGTCCTAACATTTTCATCACCCAAGAAGGACAAGGACAGTTTTTTACCCGTTAAGTTGTCACTCCCTATTTCCCTTCCCTTCCAGATCTTAGCAACAACTAATCTTTCTGTTTCAATGGATTTGCCTATCCTGGATATTTCATATAAATGGGATCATAAAATATGTGGCCTTTGTTTCTGGCTTCTTTCACTTGGCTTGTTTTCAGAGATTATCCATGTTGTAGCAGGTAATTGCACTTCTTTCCTTTTTATGACTAAGTAATAGTCTGTTGTATGTATAGAACACATTTTATCCTTCATCAACTGATGAATAATTGAGTTGTTTTCACCTTTTGGCAATTGTGAATAATTGCTGTGAACAATTTGCATACATGTTTTTGTTCAAAACTTGTTTTCAGTTCTTTTGGTTCTGTAGTTAGGAGGAGAATTTCCTGTATGGTAATTTGATGTTTAACTTTTTGAGGAAACTCCAACAAACTGTTTTCTACAGGAGGCACACAATTTTACATTCCCACCAGCAATGCAATGCATGAGTGTTCCAATATTTCCACTTCTTCACCAATACTCGTTATTTTCTTGTTTAATAGCCATTCTAGTGGGATGTAGTGATCTCATCATAGTATGATTTGGATTTGCATTTCCCTAGTGAGTATTTTTTCATGTACGTGTTAACAGCTTGTCTCTCTTCTTTGGGAAAATGTCTATTCAAGTGTTTTGTCCGTTTTTAAACTGAGGGGTTTTTTTATACTTAAGAAGTAAAAGTTCTTATATTCTGGACCTTAAAACGTTATCAGATGTATGATTTGCAAATATCTTCTCTTTTTCTGTGGGTTGTCTTCTCACTTTCTCCATAGTGTCCTGTGGTACACATAAAGTTTTCAAATTTGATGAAGTTCAGCATATCTGTTTTCTTTTGTTGGTTGTGCTTTTGGTGTTATACCTAAGAAACAATTGCCAAATTCATGATTATTAAGATTTACCATGCACCCTAGAAACTCTACACATAACTAACTCCCCATTCCCCAAACCCCCCAAAACCCTAGCAACCACCATTCTACTCTCTCTCTTCATGAATTTGACTACTCTAGATACATTGTATAAGTAGAATCATAGAGTACTTGTCCTTTTGTGACTGGCTTATTTCACTTAGCATAATGTCTTCAAGATTCATCCATGTTATACCATATGGCAGAATTTTTTTCCTTTTTAAAACTCAATAATGTTGCATCGTATGTATATACCATATTGTGTTCATCCAAATACCCATCTACAGACATTCAGGTTACTTTCACCTTTTGGCTATTGTGACTAATACCTCTGTGAATATGAGTAGCAAATATTTGTTTTGAGTCCTTTCTTTCACTTCTTTTGAGTATATACCCAGAAGTAGAATTGCTGGATCATATGGTAATTCTTTAATGTCTTGAGGATCACCATACCATTTCCACAGTGGCTGCACCATTTTACCTTCCCATCAGCAATGCACAGATATTCCAGTTTCTCCACACTCTTACCAACACTTGTTATTTTCTGTATTTTTGATATTAGCCATCCTGGTGGATGTGAAGTGATATCTCATTGTGGTTTTGATTTGCATTTTCCTAACGATTAATGATGTTGAACATTATTGATGTTGACTGGTTAATATTGGCCATACATTCATCTTCTTTGGAGCAGTGTCTGTTCATGTCCTTTGCCCATTCTTTAATTGGGTTGTTTGGGGGTTTTTATTGTTAAGTTGTAAGGTGTGTGAGTCACTCAGTCATGTCCAACTCTTTGCGACCCCATGGACTGTAGCCTGCCAGGCTCCTCTGTCCATGGGAATTCCCAGACAAGAACACAGAAGTAGGTTGCCATTTCCTTCTCCAGGGGATCTTTCTGACTCAGATATTCTGATTATCAGACCCTTACCATATACACAGTTTACAAATATTTTCTCTTATTCTGTGGGTGGTCTTTCATGCTGCTGATAATAGTGTCCTTTGATACACAGCAGCTTAAAATTTTGCGGAAGTTCACCTTATCTATTTTTCCTTTTGTTGCCTGTGTTTTTGGTGTCATGTCCAAGAAGTCGTTGCCAAATCCCATGTCATGAAGTCTTTTTCCCCATATTTTCTTTAAGAACTTTATAATTTTAGCTCTGTTTTTTGACCCGTTTTGAGTCAAAGGTAACATAAGGGTCCAGCTTCATTTTTTTTTTTTTTTTGCATGTGCACTTTCAGTTTTCCCAGTGCCATTCATAGGTTGAAAAGACTGTCCTTTCTTCAGTGAAGGTTCCTGACACCTCTGTCAAAAATCATGTGACCATATATGCAAGAGTTTAGGATCTCTAGTCTATTCCATTTGTCTATATGTTTGTCTTCTTGCCAGTACTACACTGGTTTAATTACTATATCTTTGTAGTAAATTTTGAAATTAGAAAATGTGAGACTTCCAACTTGTTTTTCTTTTTCAAGACTTTTGGCTGTTCTGAGTCCTTTGTGCTTCCATGTGAATTTTAGGATGGATTTTTCTCTTTATACAAAAAAGTCTTTGGGGTTTTGCTAGAGGTGACATTGAATCTGTAGATCAATTTGGGAGTACAGTTTTCCCCTGTTCTCTGAAAGTAAAGCGAAGAATGAAACCTTTTGTAAGCCTAAATGATGTGAAGTGAAGAAGCAGTTACCTTAGGACACATTTTGCTAATGCGTGCACACAATAAACTGAGATAAAGCACTGATGCTGGCACAGTTAAAAGTTAAGGCGGCCTCATGCTGAGATGCAGGGTGTAGTTGCTGGAGGAGAAGGAACACTACTCTTGGTGCTCAGAGTGCGCGCTCCTCTATAGTGCCCAGCTGCAGAGCAAAGACTGAGTGCTCATTGCTTTTTGCCTTTTTTTTGTAAAAGCAAAAGTCCTCTAGATTTTTGTTTGTTTGTTTAGCAAAAACAGGTACTAAAGTAGGACTTTAGTAAAGTGAAGTGGCATAAAGCAGACTTTTAAAAGCAGGGATACTCATATTATCATTTTAACAGTGGTTAAATCTTCCAGTCCATGGAATGACTTTTCTTTATTTGTGTCTCTAATTTATTTCAAAACTGTTTTATAATTTTAAGTGTACAGTTCTTTTGCCTCCTTGGTTCAGTTTATTCCTAAGTATTTCATTCTTTTTTGACACTACTGTAAATGAAACTGTTTTCTAAATTTCACTTTCTGATTATTCATTGTTAGTGTTTAGAAATGCAGCCAATTTTTGTGTGTTGATTTTATATCCTGCAACTTTGCTGAATTTCCTTAATAGTTCTAACAGCTTTTTGTGGAAGCTTAAAGATTTTCTGCATATAAGATATGTTGTCTATGAACAGAGTTATTTTTACTTCTTCCTTTCCAGTTTGGATGTCTTTTATTTCATTTTCTTGCCTAATTGCTCTAGGTCTTCTAGTACTATGTTGAATAAAATAGTGAAAGTGGGCATCCATGTTTTATTCAGGAGTTTGCTTTTTAATTTAGTATGTCAGATATAAAATGCTTTTCCTTTTCATAATATTTGTCATATACATCCATTCCACTTTAGCCCATGACCTCACCCTGAACTTTTAATCAAGTCTGAAATGTTTGGTTCTAACTATACTCTCCAGTTCATTTCACTCTAAATGTCTTATTTGACCTTATGGAAATCCCTAGTGCCTTGACTGATTACTTCTTCCATTTTAGCTCATTTGTCCACTCTCATGCTATTACTATGTTCAACTTCATTCCCATTCCCTATTTTTCAGCTATGGTAACCATCTGGCAAAACTTTAATTCTGATTAATCCAGTTGCCTGCCTTATATACATCTACACTTTGGCTCTAGGCAAAGCTAGGAAAACAAAGTCAAACATCCCTGATATTATAAAAAATCATGGTATCAATCTTTAATTTTGGCTGGCATGTCTTAATGGTCTTTCTTATTCTCACATTTTCTCCTATTTCACAGACAAAATAGAAGAAATCTTTATCAACAGTATGTATCTCAGCCAGTAGTTGCACCAACGTATATTTCTTCTTGTCTTCTCAGACAGTTAAAAGTTGCACTATCTAACATTGAACTTGCAGTGTGTGCTCAGTTGTGTCTGACTCTTTGCAACCCTATGGACTGTAGCCCACCAAGCTCCTCTGTCCATAAAATTTTCCAGGAAAGACTACTGGAGTGGATTGCCATTTCCTCCTCGAGGGGATCTTCCCAACCCAATGATCAAACCCACATCTTGTGCATCTCCTGCATTGGCAGGCATTCTTTACCACTAGCACCACCACTGAACTTACTCTCAACTACCACCCCCATCCTCACCCAATAACTGGCACCAACATCCACCCAGTGTTCTCGGAATCAGCCTTGATTTTTCTCTCATTTTCACATCCACTGAAGTCCTCTAGGTTCTGTCTCCTAAGTATATCTTAAATCTACCCGCTTCTCTATTTCAACATTGCCAGCACCTACCATATCCTTGCTTCTAATCTTGATGTCCTTAGATGTATTTTCCACTTTTCATCTGGAGAGACTTTTTAAGATGCCAATTTGCAAATATTTCTCTTGTTTTATTTTATTGTTCTAAAATTAAATCTAAATGTAATTTGTCCTGTGAAGCCCTTCATGATCTGGGCTTTGCTTACCTCTCCACTTATTTCTCAACACACTCCTAGCTTATGCACCATCCCTGCTACAATAAGTTTCACTGATTCTGAAGAACTTGACATGTTCCTCACCTATTGGGCTTTTTAGATACTGTTTTCTCTCTTCTTCATTCTTCCTCCTAGGCCTAATTTTACATATCATTTCCTCTAGGAAGCCTTCCTTCACTCTGACCAGATAAGACACCTCCACTGTCTCTCATAGCTCCCT